ACAGCCACCCTCACCTGAGCCAGTGCCTCTTGCTGGTGTTGGTGTGGCAGCAGATGGCGTCGTACTGGTCTGCCAGCCACACGATGAGGATGATGTAGAACGCGGTCGTGGTGTCGTTGAAGAACTCGGACATTATGGCCTCCATACCTGGGGACAGAGGGGACATCAGCACCCAGCAGGTCATGGGAAGGCTCCTCTGCCACCCCCAAGGTGAGACTGCACCTGCCCAGGGCACGTAACTGGGCTCTGGGTAAAGCAACAGCCAAGGCCAAACGTGTTCCACAGCAGCCCTGGCACGGCCAGGGACCAGCTGCCTCCCCAGGAAAGACTTCGGAGGGGTTTGTGGCAAATGCAACATGGTCACAGCGTATGAGTCTGCAGTGAGCTCCAGGGACACACAAAGCTTCAGGTTCTGGGACTTCCCCATGAACTGCTGCTGTTCCAGGGGACCCAGAAGGACAATGGAGCTCACTGTGCCATCAAATTCCAGAGCCTTCTGCCTTGTGACGGGCAGCCACGCACCACCTGCCGCAGCCAGCTCGGCCAGGGACTCACTTCCCAGAGATCCCAGAGGGATGTGCTGCAGACACGATCAGTGAGGCGAGTCCTTACCGACCAGAGCCAGGATGACAGTGAGGAGTGGAGCCGCAGGGAACGCAATGGTCATGTTCATCTCCAGCATCTGCAGCAGGTCAACTGCAAGAGGGAAAACAGACTGTGGCACAAAGCAGATGTGGGGCCATGGAACCCTCCACACCACAGCATTGCCCACTCAGCGCAGCCAAGTCCTCTGGCCCAAGTCCTTGGCAGGGACAGAAAGCTCTGGCAGAGCAGTGATGGGGTGCACGGGGGTGTATTCCCTGTGCAGCTACAGCAGGACCCTTCTAACAGCAGTCAAGGTTGGAGTGAGACCTCTTTAAGGTCCTCCTGACCCAAACCTGCTGTGCCACTATGACACCCCGTACTGGAGCAGGCTCAGAGCCCAGTACCCCCAGGTCCCTCAGCCAGTCCTTACCGATGAAGACAAAGATCTGGTGGTGTGAGTAGCGCAGCAGCATCGAGACGGACAGAGTCTGGAGAGGAGAGAGGGAGGCAGGTGAGAGCCCCACGGGCACAGGAGCTCCGATCGCACTGCGGCACAGGCCTGGCCAGCCTGGGCTTGCACATCCCACGCTCGTTAGCTGGGCTGTGCAGCCAAAGAGTAATTAGGGCTCCACAAACAGCAATTAATCTCTGTGCTGCTGCAGTGGAACAGACAGTAAGGGATTAGTTTGTAAAGGGACTGATCCTGAACGCCTGAGCAGGGGCCAAGCCAACCCACAGGGCTGGGAGCAGGGACTCTCCTGTCCTCCATCCCACTCCTCCCACAGCTCCCAGTGCCTCTGCCCTCAATTCCTTCTCACTGCCCACAGTGAGACTGCACAGAGCTGCCTCAGAGGGCAGGACAGCCAGACACAAGGGGAGAGTCACCCACAGCCACCCAAGACTACAAACATGGCATAGTTATCACTTGGGATCTTATCTGATACGTATCTGAGATCACCTCATCTCACACATCATCCCTCAGTGTATCTTGATCTCTCCTGGCAAATCACTCTGGCCTGTTCTTAAAGGTCTCAGAGGACAAACATCTGCACCCTGTGGTGACAGCCTAAGTGTTTTAATGACACCTGGAGGCTCCAACAGCAACTCCCCTTTGACAAGGAAACCAACACTGCCTTCTAGCCCAGCTCCTCTGTTGTTTCACTGATGGGACTTTGAGAACCCACACCAAAAATGAACAAACCAACCCAAAGCAGGACCTTGTCCTCCACCAACTACACGTTCCGAGCAGGTGAAGGCTCAGGCCTGTGGTGTTACACCAACCACACACCACCCAGCCCCGGGCCCAGCCCAGGCACTGCCCAGCTCCGCTGACTTACGAAGATGACCATGATGACGAAGGCTGCCAGGTAGGAGGTCCTGGCCATCCACATGCTGACAAAGCGATAGTGCTCTCCAGACACCACATTGCGAAGGAAACCTGCAGAAAAGGCACAAACACGAGCTCAGTGTGTTAACTCACAGACTGAGAACCAACTGCTGGTGCCTCCTAATTTGAGGATTTGAAGCAAATCCTCAGGGTAGCAGCACTCATTGTCATGCAGGGCAGTGAGGCAGGAGGAAATCACATTTGCAGACACCTCTCCCCTCCTGCCTCTCTCATCCTGTCCTTGACAAGAACACAGGGAGCTGCTCCCCGCATTACAGATGAATCAATAGTCAGGAGATGATATTCAGGCTCCCACAGAACAACACCCACTGCTCTGCGCAGCTGCTGCGACTCCTCCAGGCCTCACCTTTGTTCTCCTCGTTTTCAGCTAAAGCTTTGACACTCGACATGAGGATGTCGTCGTAGCCCAGGAACTCGTCCAGCAGCAGGCGGCTGAACCTGTCCCCGAAGCACTGATCCCTGGTGGGGTCTAGGGAGAACACAGAGACCTGTTCACACCTGGAGCCACAGAGGTGAACACACTGTGCTGTCACCCACAAGGACAAGGAGGTCTGAGACCGTATTACTGACTTGGACAGGTTTTAATGGACAAATGCCAGGGGAAGAGGACACTGTACCAGGGAATGATCTGCTGGTGCTCACAGAGGCACAGACACACGCCAGAGTGTGACCCACACCTGAGAGCACTGTCCCCAACACCTGCACAGCTGCTCTCACCATTGGGCTCCAACCCTGCACTGAGCCCAGAGCCCCAGCGCTCACTAGGGAAAGGCTCTTCCCCCTCCGTGGGAAAGCTGTGCTGGGCTCACTGAATCAGACTCCACCGTTCCACACTGCTCCTCCTGGGAAGGAGTGAGCTGCTGCCAGGACAGAAGCTGCACACAGCAGTGGGGCATGGGCACCACTGGCTTCACAGGAGCTCCCAGAGACCAGAGGGGAGTCAGCACCCCCTGCCCCACTCACCCAGGGTCACCACCATGACGGGGATGCTGAGGCGCTGCCGCGTGCTCTGGGACAGGCGCAGGAATCCGTACTCCAGTGAGTACTCGACGATGTACTCCTCCTGCGGCCACACTGGACAAGAGGGGAGGAGACAGGAGACTCATCACCCAGCTCTGCACACAACCACAAGAGCAAACAGCACCTCGAGGCTCCCTCCCTCCCTCCCCTCACATCCCTGCAAAGGGAACTGGTTGCACACACAGGCTCCAGGCTCCCCTCCACCAATTAAACACCAATGAGTACAAACCCTTTGGAATTGCAGCCCATTCCCTTGACATTAGTCCTTCATGTGAAGCTTCTGGGAAAGCTTTAGGGCTGCAGTTCCAAGCTCTATGCAGAACCTGCCCACATCTGTGCCTGGAAAGCCCAGAACTGCTCATTCTTGCTCTGTTCAATTACTGCTTCCCATGTTGTTTGGG